TATTCATGAGAGACACACACACACAGAGCACGCGCGCGCGTGCGAGAGAGAGGCAGAGACACAGGCAGAGAGAGAAGCAGGCTCCATGCAGGGAGCCCGACGTGGGACTTGATCCCGGAACTCCAGGATCACGCCCTGGGCCTAAGGCAGGCACTATACCGCTGAACCACCCAGGGATCCCCCCATCTAGATATTGATGACTTCCAAATTTGTATGTTCAAGTTTTTCTCCCAAACTCTAGGCTTATATAATCCAATGCCCCATTCAGCAACTCCACTTAAACATCTAATAGATGTGCACAGTTCATCATGTCCAAAACTGAACTCCTAATAGCCCCCTTCCTGAAAGATGGCTTGAGATCAGTTGATGAGAGATCTGTTCTTTCGGTTGTTCAGGTCCCAAAACTCTGAGCCATACTATTCCTGTCTCACTCGTGACATCAAATCCCTTAGGAAATACAGTTGCCTCTACCCTCAAAGCAGACTCAGAAACTACTGCTACCACTCTGGGGCCAACATCTTTATCTCATGCCCAGATTATTACAATGCCTCTTGCCTAATTTATTTATTTATTATATAGTTTTTAATTTATTTAGAGACCACGGGTGGAGGGAGGAGTAGAGAAAAAATCTTAAGCAGCTCCACACTCAGCATGGAGCCCAACATGGGGCTCAGTCCCACCACCCTGAGATCATGACCTGAGCCAAAATCAAGAGTTGGACACTTAACCGATGGAGCCACCCAGGCACCGCTTGCTGATTTTAATCACAGTAGCCAGAAGAATCACTTAAAAACTGAAGTTAGGGGTGCCTGGCTGGCTCAGTCAGTGGAGTGTGCGATTCTTGATCTTGGAGTTGTAAGCTTGAAACCTACTGGATGTAGAGATCACTTAAAAATTAAATCTTTAAAAAAAAACAAAAACAAAAACAACAACCCAAAACTGAAAAGGTGACACTCCATTCCTCAGCTCAAAACTCTTCGATGATCCTTCTGAGTATTCCCAGTAAAAGCCCATATCTTTCCAAAGGCATAAGAGGCCCTTACATAATCAGGGCACTTCACCTCTCCTGCATTCTCTTTGACCTTATTTTCTACTTTTTCCTTTCTTATTGTGATTCAAGAATTTTCTTCTTTTTTTCATATAAAGACAACATCAAGACATTCTCTGCAAGAGAACTTGTCAGTAACATTTGCCCATGTCTCCTTCTTGAAAAAGGTTATATAAATGTACTGCATTCATCTCTGAGAAAATGCAAAAAGAAGCCTTGAGACTATATAACATCTTGATGGAAAAGAATGAATGGCTGTGATAAGCATTTACAACACATAAACATGAATTCAAGTTTGGTAAGTTGTTTAATCTGGCTTCGAAACTAAATTAAAATGTCAAAAATTATTCTTAGAGGAGAAGTATTTAACATAAAAGCAATATTTAGTTATAATGATATGGGCCTAAAATTCTAGACTTTACTATGTATAGCAACTAAAAAGAGGGAGTAGGCAATAGGTAGGTGTGTATTTTTTTTTTTTTTAAGTGCTAGATTTCAGGGCACCTGGGTGGTTCAGTTAAGCATCTGCCTTTGGCTCAGGTCGTGACCCCCGGGATCTGGGATGAAGTCCCGCATTGGGCTCCCTACTCAGTGGGGAGTCTACTTCTCCCTCTCCCTCTGCCATTCCCCCTGTTTGCATTCTCATTCTCACTCTCTCTCTCTCAAATAAATAATATTGTTTTAAAAAATAAAATAAAAAAATAAAAGTGCTAAATTTTATCATAAAAAAGTACTTATTTGAAATAAGGAATGCTCAAAAATGCCACTCCATTCTTGACACCGTATTTAAAGAAAAAGAGTTTAAACATAATTTTGCCAAATATAAAGCTAACTACCATTCATACGAAATACCGTATATATTGAAAATATGTAGCCACAGACAGAAGACAAAGAAAACAAAACCAATAAAGAAGCTTATGACCAGAAATTACATAATAACAGCAATGGTAAGGAGTAATAATAATAGGCATGATGTATTATAATGTACTATGTGTCAGGACCTAGGCTGAGAAATTTGCAAGCATAATCTCTATCCTTATGTGTTGGCATTATCATTATTATTAATTATTATTATTATTTTGTTAATGAGGAATTTGAGGCTTAAAGAGATCCTAGTGAATAGGAATTTAATATATGGTAAAGGTAACCTTTGAAAACATTAGGAAAAGTACAAATCATTGATTATAGGTTCACCGCGAAATTCATTAACAATTTTTGAACAAACAGAGTTTGCTACAGGAAACAATTTTTGAATGGATTTGGGTTTGATAAAATGCACACAGGCACAAACTAAAAGGAGACAGGAGCGAGAACATCAGTTAGGTTGTTTTTACTTGAAAATCACAAGCTCCCTGACTCACGGTGGCTTGAGATAAGAAGGTGCTCACCTAAGTCCCACTGTCTATCCTGCCACAGCTCCAAGCATCCTGTTTATTCAGAGTTGCTTCCAGAAACAATCAAGAAGGAGGCAGCAAGCATGGCGGAAGAGGACTCCTCCACGTGGGCTTTTCCTTTCTTTTTTATAGCAGGTGACTCTTTCCCAGAAGCCCCCAGGATAGCCTCTGTCTTCTCTCATTGGCCAGGACTGGGTCACATGACCATTCTAGCTGCAAGGGAAGCTGGGAGCATGAGGGATTAACTCAAGTCTGAGTATCTCGGGTGCATGATCTAGTGCAGGATGCCGACTTGGACCTCCAAGCTTCTCCAGTCCATTCAATGGTGAGGATACTTGTTATAGCCCCTGGAAGGGAGCCTCAGAGTCCTTAGCACCAAGGTGAACAATGGTGATTTTTTAAATTTTTATTTTTTAAAGACTATTCACGAGAGACACACAGAGAGAGGCAGAGACACAGGCAGAGGGAGAAGCAGGCTCCATGCCGGGAGCCCAACGTGGGACTTGATCCCAGGGCTCAGGATCACACCCTGAGCCAAAGGAAGCCACTCAACTGCTGAGCCACCCAGGTGCCCCTGACCAGTGGTGATTTTGAAAGTAAAACCCAGCCCCTGATCTGGGATGGAAATGGACAGTGATGGAGATAGTGAAATATTCCTCAAATAACTGAAATATTATGTGAAACCTTGTCAGGGGGTTGAGACATATTCCCATTTATGTCGTCAGAAAAGTCAATTTCCTAAAAATGTTTAGTTAGCCATTTCAGATGATGTAGTTATTTCTCAACCGTTTGAAACTCATGTCCCCGTTTGATAGATGTATGATTTTTTTTTCCAACCGCACTTCCCCGATTCGGATAAATCCTTGCAACTTAAAATCAATCAGAGGCAGTTGATAGTTTTCATGGTTCTACAGAGGAATAATATTTGGTTGAGTTTCAGTTTCTGCAGCTTGTAAGACAAAGTCAATACACAGTTTCAGCTATAAATCATTTTCAAATTATAAGTAATTTGAAGAGTACATCAACCACTGCTCAAAAATAAATCAACCGGGGTGTGCATACACGCATGCGTGCGTTCATCCATTCGAGATGGGAGCTGAAGCATTGTTATTTTAATGTCGTGTTACCTGTAATTGCCCATGGCGTCACATGGGGATTTTATGAGGGACCAGCAATAGGACAAGACTAAGCGTCCAGTTGCTTATTACTTCAATTCTTGAACCTGAGACTCCCAGACAAGTTTGAATGGGGAAGTTAAGTCCTGATGTTTGGAAGCTCACTGGTTAACGTTGACAAGAATCTCTAGTGTACAAGTGTAGCCCCATAACTAGTGCTCCTGAAGGCAATGGGGAGAAAGCCTGGTGTTCTGACCCACAGTGGGCAATGTGGACTCAACTCACTGGGGGAGGTCGTGCCAGGAGGCCAGGAGAAGCAAACCAGTCATCCCACATCCTCCCAGTGTTCACACATCCTGCTGATGGAGCAGGATTGTCCCCTTCTCTGTCAACATAGGGTAGTAAGAATGCTCGCTCAGTAGAGTGGCTGAGTGCTGGTCTTGCTTAGAGGAAATCCCTGGTGGAATAAGTTCCCCCTTAGCATTGCCCAGTGAAGGGGGTAAGGTAAAATCCACATTCCCCCATAGGTCGTTTTTTCCCTGCTGCCCGAATGGCAATGTCTGAAAGGTGAGAAACGTCCATGCTATCTGTAGCGTTAGAGCTGAAAGAAGCTTTGACACCGTGTTGCTCAAATCCATCATGGTGCTGTAGACGATGAAACCAATGTCCAGAGAGTTTCCAGGAGCTGCCTGAGGCCACCAAGCAAGAGGAAGGCCTCAAGACCAGGGCTCTTCTCAGTGGAAGCTATCTTACTGAGATAGTTTACCAAGACTTTCAGGCAGGGCAGGTGTAGTGGGGAAGATTTCCCCCCCTGAGTTCTGGGTAAGGGGAGTTTTCACAGGCTACTGGCATCTGTTGATTGTTTACTCTTTTGTCTCTGGAGAGGTAAAGTGACTTTACATGATCAGTGAGTTTGAAATCAACAGCAACAACAACAACAATAAGATTGGCAGAGAGCTGGAGTTCTTCGTGCCTTGGTCTTATCTGAGCATGCGCCATTACCAACGTGCAGGGTGGGCAGTGGGAAGGCTGGTTCAGTCCTTCTGCTTCATTCCCAGCTTGGCCAGCAGGCCTGCTGGGCTCTCACACCAAGCTCTGGGCTCCAGTCTGGTCTCTACCAATAATCACAGTGAGATTTCAGCGCTCAGATTCACTCTCTGCTCTGTTTCTCAGCTTACTGAGTACTGATGTGGGAAGAGGGCATTAAGATAGAGGAGGTCCCTTTAAAGATGCCTGGAGCCTTTCTGCCCCTGGACGCCGCCCTTTCTGCCCCTGGACGCCGCCGAGTAAGCATCGTGAAAGTCTCCCCTCCCACCGCCGTCATGTCTAAAGTCAGAGTCTCCCAAAGAGCCCGAGCAGCTGCGGAAGCTCTTCATCGGAGGTTTGAGCTTCGAAACGACCGATGAGAGTCTGAGGAGCCATTTTGAGCAATGGGGGGCGCTTACGGACTGTGTGGTAATGAGAGACCCCAACACCAAGCGCTCCAGAGGCTTCGGGTTCGTCACGTAGGCCACCGTGGAGGAGGTGGACGCGGCCATGAACGCGCGGCCGCACAAGGTGGACGGAAGAGTCGTGGAACCAAAGAGGGCCGTCTCCCGAGAAGATTCTCAAAGACCCGGTGCCCACTTAACTGTGAAAAAGATTTTTGTCGGTGGCATTAAAGAAGACACTGAAGAACATCATCTAAGAGATTATTTCGAACAGTATGGGAAAATTGAAGTGATTGAGATCATGACTGACCGAGGCAGTGGCAAAAAGAGAGGTTTTGCTTTTGTGACCTTTGACGACCACGACTCTGTAGACAAGATTGTCATTCAAAAATACCATACTGTGAATGGCCACAACTGTGAAGTGAGGAAAGCCCTATCGAAGCAAGAGATGGCTAGTGCTTCGTCCAGCCAAAGAGGCCGAAGTGGTTCTGGAAACTTTGGTGGTGGTCGTGGAGGTGGTTTTGGTGGGAATGACAACTTTGGTCGTGGAGGGAACTTCAGTGGTCGAGGTGGCTTCGGTGGCAGTCGAGGTGGTGGTGGATACGGTGGCAGTGGGGATGGCTATAACGGATTTGGTAATGACGGAAGCAACTTTGGAGGTGGCGGAAGCTATAACGATTTTGGCAATTACAACAATCAATCCTCAAATTTTGGACCCATGAAAGGAGGAAATTTTGGAGGCAGAAGCTCTGGCCCCTATGGTGGTGGAGGCCAATACTTTGCCAAACCACGAAACCAAGGTGGCTATGGCGGTTCCAGCAGCAGCAGCAGCTATGGCAGTGGCAGAAGGTTTTAATTACTGCCAGGAAACAAAGCTTAGCAGGAGAGGAGAGCCAGAGAAGTGACAGGGAAGCTACAGGTTACAACAGATTTGTGAACTCAGCCAAGCACAGTGGTAGCAGGGCCTAGCTGCTACAAAGAAGACATGTTTTAGGCAATACTCATGTGTATGGGCAAAAAACTCGAGGACTGTATTTGTGACTAATTGTATAACAGGTTATTTTAGTTTCTGTTCTGTGGAAAGTGTAAAGCATTCCAACAAAGGGTTTTAATGTAGATTTTTTTTTTGCACCCATGCTGTTGATTGCTAAATGTAATAGTCTGATCATGACGCTGAATAAATGTGTCTTTTTTTAAAAAAAAAATAAAAAATAAAGATGCCTGGAGCAGGGGTGCCTGGGCTGGGGCCTGGGTGGCACAGTTGGTTAGGTATTAGGCTCTTGGTTTCGGCTCAGGTGCTGGTCTCATGGGTCATGGGATGGAGACCCCCACAGGGCTCTAAGCTCAGTGTGGAGTATGCTTGGGACTCTCCCACTCCCTCTGCCCTTCCCCTGCACTTGAAAACTCACTCTTTCTGTCTAAAATAAATAAACCTTTGGGGCACCTGGGTGGCTCAGTGGTAGAGCATCTGCCTTTGGCTCAGGTCATGATCCTGGGTCCTGGGATCGAGTTCCTCACTGGGGTCCCCACAGGGAGCCTGCTTCTCCCTCTGCCTATGTCTCTCTCTCTCCTTCTGTGTCACTCATGAATAAATAAATAAAAATCTTAAAGTAAAATAAAATAAAAATGCCTGAAGGAGGACAACCCACAGCTTTTGTGACATTGTTTTGAGTCTAAGTTGAATTCAAATAATGGAATTATTACATTAATGAGATTATTACATCTCATTCTGATGTATTTGCTGGAAAAGAGGGTGGCCTTTTTCCCTGTGACCCAGGTCATTAAAGGACTGGGAAATGAGGCTGGAAGCCTTGCGTCCCATCCTCCCAACACTAAGGCAGCCTGAGGTCTAGAGCACATGGGCATTACCCACATTCTCTCTCCTCCATCGAGTGACGAGCTGCTCTTAGGACAAAGTGGCCCCCATATCTCTTGGAGGACTGTTTCCAGTTGCTTTCTGGCTTTGTCCAGAAATCCTGGCCCTATTATCATGAAACATTTATTTTGGCTGAACTGGGGATTTAAGACTCAGGTTCTATTTGGGGTGGGGGGTGAGGTTGGCCAGAACGTCTCACCCATCCTCATTTTCCTTTAGTCTCGGATGCCAGTGAGACCTGGAGAAGTCCCTGCCCCTTCGTTATTTGTTCCCATCAATTTATATGTAGGCAGCAGGCCCTCCCTTGATACAGGTCCCTAAAACAGACACTGCCATGCTGGATTATAAAGATATATCGAATGGACCCAGGGTGGCTCTGTCCACGGCCAGGCTGTAGGAAGGAACGACAGCCCTAGAGAGGGAATTTACAGAGACTGATCAGTGAAGCCGGACTGGCAGCAGGGACAGCGTTCCTGGGGCAGGGCTGGTCCCCGCATTGGCATGAAGGACCATGTTGTTCCCAGCCTAGCCAGTGGGACCCCCAGATCCCTGGATTTACTACTACAAGGAGGTCAGTGGTGGTGCTTGGGTGGATGTAGGAGTGCAGGGTGAGGGCCTCAGGCAGCAGCATGTGAGTGACCATTTGTTCACTCATTCATTCATCCCACGATGCTCATTGAGGACCAGAGCTGTCTCTAGAGGCCCGGGAGCAGGGGACAGGCAGACAAGATCCATCTGTCCAGAGAATCATAGAATTGACAGGAACAAAAAAATATATGAGTAAACAACATGATTATGAGATCAGAGGGTGATTTTTAATGCCAGCACCCCAGGAAAGCGCTTCAACTATTTGGGGAGGGAAATCCTGGCTGGTACAGAAAGTGGGGTCTCAGGGCCCCAAATCTGGTCTAAGTATAGATCTGACTTCTTCTGCACCCAGGGGCTTGGGAGGGGGTGGGTCCCCATCTATGGGTTTCGGTAGCATTGCACTTGTGTGTTTCTTTTGTGGAAGTCCATTCGTTCTTTTTTTTTTTTTTTTTAACCTCTTGCATTTGCTTGGTTTTTATTTTTGTGCTTTTTTTTTTTTCCTTTCACTTTATCTCCTCTCTCCCCACCTCCCGGATCTCTGCCCCATTTATACTTTCTGGGAGTCAGTTGGCACTTAATGAGCGTCCTTGGAGAATTCTAGCTGAGTCTCGGTTCTCAGGTCAGGTGGTAGGAGATGCCCGGGCTCAGCCTCTTGTTTTTCTTCCCCGTGTTGAAGCATCTTGGACTCCAGGCCAGTCTGGCTGCCTGGGTTGGCAAATGTCTAAACCTGCTGTGGCCTCTGCAGGCCTGCTGCTGGCTGAAGCCAACATCAGCTCTGTTCCATTTCTTCCTCATGTTTGTCTGAGTGGCTACGGTGAGAAAGATGCCTGGTGCGGGGGGAGGGTGGGCAGAGGAAGCCCAGGTCCCCCAAACATGCCACCAGGCCTCCTGTGCTCCCTCCACTGTCACAGGGCTCCACAGGAGAGTCACATGCAGGTGTCCCCCTGAGGACCCTCATGACCGTTGTCACCCACCAGCCTGCTTCATGCACCCTGTAGGTCCTTGAGTCTGCTGGAGGGTCCCTCCGAGTGGGAGTGCTCACCTTCTGTCTTGTGCAGCCTGCTTATTTTACAGAGGGGAGTGGAGCTGTGCCCCGAGTCCCCTAGCACAGAGCCACAGATCACAGTGGGGAGGGAGGTGTCTGCCTTTTGCTCCATGGTTTTCTGGGTCTTTCCACCCTGCTTCCTGCCACTGAGACTTACTCTCACCCAGAGCTCGGGGACATCTGTCACAGACCGTGTGATGCCTGGATGGCCTGGTCATCCCCAGTCTGCTGCTAATGCAATGTGTGGCCCCGGTCAAGTTTGCTTTAGAAGATTCTCCTCCAGGGACACTTGGGTGGTTCAGTAGCTGAGCATCTGCCTTTGGCTCAGATCATGATCCCGGAGACCTAGGATTGAGTCCTGCATTGGGATCCCCCACCCTCCACTGCCCCAGGGAGCCTGCTTCTCCCTCTGTCTATGTCTCTGCCTCTCTTTGTGTCTCTCATGAATAAAAAAATAAAATCTTAAAAAAAAATTAGAAGATTGTCCTCCTCCGCTGGCCAAGAGACCCGCTTCCAATGCTCCCTTTCCCAACAGCTGCCAACTGCTGTTCCCGGGTGGTCCCCAACTGGGAGAACTCCATCAGCACAGAGATCTCCTGAGTTCAATCCATCATTCTGTGGCCACAGACAGGGGAACAGAGCCCAAGAATTTACATTCAAAGTCGCAGAGCCAGTAACAGAAGATGCACCAGGCAGGATTTGAAATCTGAGAAACAAAAGGTCGGAGGAGCCTTCTGTCTTTTAGGCATTCAGGCTTTGGCCTTGGCCTCAGACCCCTTGTCTGTTGGGAAGGGGCTGCCTGGACTTGGTGGTTCTCAAAACCAGTGACTCTGGAAGTCACATAGATACTCTGCTGAAACTCATCTACATGGCTTGGTTGCTCTTTGGGAGGAGAAGCAATATGGGGGAAAATGTGCTGAGCCCCAAAACTGCTCATAAAAATGTGTATTTTATTGTTTCGTTCTGTATCAGGTGACTCTCGAAGGGTTGCTGTGATATGGACTCTGCCTCCTTCTTCTTCCCATGTTGTGGGAGAATGAGAAAGTGGAGACCCAACAAAGAGAGGAAAGGGGGTCAGACCCCCACCATGGCCCCAATACCCTACCTCTCAGGCTCAGTGTGTTTAATCCCACTGGGTCCCAGTGTCCTCCTCCAGATGTGTGGGGATGAGGTCCCTCCCAGTCCTGTGATTTTTTTTTAAGGTTTTATTTATTTATTCATGAGAGACAGAGAGAAAGAAGCAGAGACACAGGCAGAGGGAGAAGCAGGCTCCCTGCAGGGGAGCCTGATGCAGGACAATCCCAGGACCACAGGATCACAACCTGAGCCGAAAGCAGACACTCAACCACTGAGCCACCCAGGGGTCCCTCAGTCCTGTAATTTCTGAGTGCTATTACTATTGCTTTATCCCAACAGAATGGGACAGATTGGCCATTGCTCTTCAGAAACGGGACCTCGAACCCCTGTTTGCCTTCACAGGAGAAGCCGAAACACCCGTGCTAAGATAACAAAGTCCACTTTGGATTTAAACTGCACCTCCTCGCAAATGGCCTTGCCGCACCGGGTGCAGGGGCGACAGCAATGGTCTGCACCCCTTAGTTAAAGTGATTCTTTGCCTTCCTTTGACAAGGCACAGGCCGCAGGAGAGGAAGGCAAAGCCCAAATCTGGCTACATTTCTTTGGCAGAGTCAGGAGGTAAACAGTCCCCTAATTTATAGCAGCCCATTACTCAACACCTTGGATTCATTGTAGGGAACTTGCTCCGATGGAAACACAATGCCAGGCCTGCTCTTCCCACCCCCACCCGCTTCCCACATCTGCTTATAATATTCACTTCTAAGCACATAAAACCCATTAATGTCGCTAGGAGTTGGCTTGTTTTTTAATCAAGATAAATATAGACAACTTCAGGACAATTAAAAAGGTACTGGGCAAAAATGGCTTCCACAGATAAAATTTATTAATAGCGGACTGTAAGCAGAGCCGATCTATATTACTATCATATTCTTCAATGACCGACCCTATAAATGCTTGCTTTAGTGTTTTTCTAATGTTGCTAATTTATCTATGGCTGTCACTCCGGGGCTGTTAACTTTGAACAAATGACTGGTATTAATCACGAAGGGCCATTAGATGCCAAGGCCCAGTGTTAAATCATCTCTGGAGTGACACGTGTAAGCATCCGCAAAGTAAATTTTACAAACTACATTGGCAATTGGAGTTTGCCACTACCAGGGGGACTTGACCCTTTGGGTGTTGGGAACATCGTGGAACCCAGAACAGGCTGGTGGGGTCAGGGGTGACATGGGCAAAGCTTTGGAAGGGAGCAGAACAAGGCAAAATGTCTTAGCCTGGTCCTTGCTGACTCACTGGCTGGGACACTCTGGTGTGAAAGGTGAATTCTTCAGGAAGAAGTCCCCTGATGCAGGGGGAAATGCAGAAGCCAGGGGCCTGTCCGAAGGGCACAGCATACACCAGACAGCAGCAGGCTGTTGCTGCAAGGAAGCATGAGCTTCGTGGTCCAAGTAGGAACTTGAAGTCTGCATTTTTGTAGGTCAGTTCTCAACATTGAAAATGCTGGCTGGTGGGACACCTGGGTGGCTCAGCTTTTGAGCATCTGCGTTCAGCTCAGGTCATGATCCTGGGGTCCTGGGATTGAGTCCTGCATCCCAGGATCCTGGGGTCCTGTG